TACCTCGAAGTCGTCATCGTTGTGCCTCTGTATCCTGTGTGCGCCTAGAGGTTTACTTGGGTCTTTATTTGTTTTTCCGTACAGCTTAGCCATCGCTTTCATGTCAAAAGTGGAAGCTCCGGTTCTCCATCGGCGTCCAATACTTTACTGTCGATAAATAGACGATCGTTTTGTCATCTGCTTTACACAAGAGGAGATGGATAAATGCTTCGAAATTCTGAACGGACAGTCAGAGTTTATTAAGTTGACGCGAGAACAACAGCATTCAGAGAGCTGGCTTCCCTTCTTAACGTTCAAGTTCAACTCAATGAAAGTGGCCACAATACAAAATGGTATCGCAAGTCCAGTAACAAAAACAATTTGCTGCATTACCTTTTTTCTCATCGCTCACATACTAAAAAAGCACTTATTCCGAAATATGTATCGAACAGCTGTAAGTGTTTGTACGGGAGACGATGAAAGAAGGGAATCACTAGACTTAGCGCGAAAAATATCCATTTCTAATGGTACAAACAAAGAACAACAACTAACGTTAGACCCAAAAGGAGCGAAAAGCCTCGCAATGGGAACGACAGGACGCCAAACCTAAACAATAAGGTACCTCTTATGCTACCTTTCATAACAGACGAAGTCAGTACCGCTATTAAAAGGTGTCTGAAAAACAGTGGTCTAGAGGATTCTGGAAGAATTGTAAAAATTCCTCCTTAAACACTGCGTCGCCAATTAGTTTGAAACCGCTTGTATGACCGTCTATGTAATACAAAGGACTGCGTTATTTGTCCCAACGGTAGAGACGGCGATTGCATGAGCGTAGGTACAATATACATTATCTTGTAAGACATGTGTGGCGAATATATTGGCGAAATAGGCAGAACACTTCACATCCGCATTAAAGAACACCTAGACGGGAAAACAAGTAAAGACCCAAGTAAACCTCTAGGTACAAACAGATACAAAGACACAACGATGACGACTTCGCGGTAGTAGTCAGATTCCTAAGGCATGAATCAAAGACATCGGCGCGAACAACCCTTGAAACTTTCTGGATAAATTCTAGAAAACAGTAAAGGAACAAAAAGGAGAGTGCCTTAACATAACCAACCACATGGTACCCTATCTCAGATTGATTTTCTAGCATGGATCTCAGCTGACACCTATCCATGATTTCATAATTTGACCTAGTGACATGGGTGGCGGGTTCATACGTCACCGTGGCGCTAACAACATAGGTAATCCCTAGACTAAATTGCACGGTGAGTGGTTTTCCTTGAATCAATGTTCGCTTATCAATGTCCTTGATTTCCAATTTCTGTTTTTTTTTCTCACAGTATATAGTCATAAAAAGAAAGTTACAACGAGTAATACGTACAAGCTCTCAAGAAGGGTATTCGCCGAAACGTCAGCCGCTAGTAACCAAGAAAACCCATCGACCGGAAAAAAGAACAGTCGATTCGGGAAAAGATACCAGCCTCAAGAAGCTTCAAATACAGATTAGTTTTCTAAACTATTCTTCTCATTTTCAAAATGTGTTCAATGCAATAATAGCCAATAATCATGCCAATTCAATGCAATAATAGCCAATAATCAATAAGTGATATTATCCTCGTACCAACTTGTGAAAAAAAGCAAATTTAACAAAATTCCATTGATTTGGAATATTAGTAATTGATCTTCTCTGAAATGCAATTTTCTTCGCAATTTACCATCGAATATGATGACCTGCCAACAGAGTCTTGGATCAACATTATGTTTTCAATCAGTCAAAACAAAAATGAGTGATGAATAAATGAAAAGACGATTACTTCAAATGTTTTTGCACTTTCTGTAGTGGATGGAGCACCCCGAGAGGATTGGCTGACGAAGAGCCTGCTCGACTGACGAAGCTGCCAAGGCCGAAACACGTGTATCGAGTTGTACAAGAGCTCATAAACAGTCCACATAAGATGTTGGCTTGAATTATAACTATCAGATATAAGACGTCGTTAAAATTTATAGGACTCCAAGAAAATGAGGACAATGGGCTGAATTTCTTAGTACGAAAAGTTGAAGCAATCATAAACGCTTTTAGCTCGGATAAGTTAATTTTTATCCTTAGCTGGTTTGAGTCAAATAGTCAACTTATTGATCTGCTACACCTAGAATTATTACTGAGAGCACGTAACCGGAATACAACGAGTTTTGCAGTCGAAATAAACGTCGGTTTTCTTCAGTTATCATGTGCTACATATGCTTCTAAGGTAGGCACACAGCTGTGCCACGTGTATCCATAAATGACGACGTTATCTGAAGCTTACCATAACCAAAGTCGAACGCAACAGCTTACTAATTGTGAAGACTTAGGAGCATCCAATTTGGATCAACGAGAACTATCTGAGCATCATTGGCTACCGAAAAATTTAATTCATGCATTCAGTCTAGCCGAACGATTCGGGTAAAGGTCAGGTCGTTATTTATGGAAATCACTTTTTCTGAATATGGTTTTTCGTCAAACAAAGCAAAGCCATCTTCAAAGAAAATGCAACTAGAAAGAAAAGCTGGTTTGTTCAATGAGATCACACGCATACAAGTCAGTGGCTTCTATAAGGAGAATTGCTGTCACGTGAACATAAATTGTATTTCAGCGAGAAGGCAGCTTTTCATTGTTGTTTGAATTCGGACTTCCGCACTCGTCTGTCTTGCCTTAGGACATTATCTCATACGTGACACATTTTGTCCTGTGTCACATTTCTCATTCAGAAAAGTATAAGAGAATGAAGCTCTCGGCGTTGATCAATCTTGAGGGATGCGTCGTAAATTTGTCTTTCATTTTACCTTCGTTTGAGGCGATTGAATGCATGTCTGGCCTTCATGATGACTCGCGGCAGCCTAGCAATGTATCACGTCAGCGCTGCTTATCTTCCCTGGCAAGTCTGAGACCAAACTGAACGATTTATCGACTTCATAGGGATGGAAGGCCTGTTGAGCTATGAGCACGACATAAGAGCATCCACCTTGTGTGCAACGAAAAGCCTGTGTAACCACTCGCGACATGCGCTCTTCTCTTCATAAGCTGAATGGATGACTCCTCAAAAATTTTTGAAGTTGCTTGAAAGATTAGTTTCACTCGGTCTACTTGATAATTGTAGTCTTATCCATGTACTGTTGTTGACAGTTGTCAAAATCGTCTGCCGATCATTCGATCAGCGAAGAAATACAATTTTAACCCTAAATAAGTATTGGGTTGTCCTATGGTTATTTTCGCATCTTGACACTTTTGTTATTTGGACTAGTATACATTTGAAGAAATCAACTAACCAACAACCTAATCTTCATCATGATGAATGCTTTGGCAAGCGTTTGTTAGGCGAAGACTGGATGCTTTCCGCCTACAAATAATAACGCTTGCGATCAAAGAACTCGTGAGCTCGTTTTTGAACTGGTTGCACTCTCTTCTTGTTCCCACGCAAATGCTGCTTGAGAACGCGGAGAAGATGATGAGCCTCTTATGCAGAATCAGATCTATAAGTTGGATGTGGCACCGTGGCCCATCCCAGTCTGCCAAAATGTGGCAAATCGACATAGCAATATGAGGTCGAGCGCCATAGAGTAGAGCGACACTAAGTCGTTTCGGGCGTTTGTCTCGCACTACTGCTCTCTTATTGCGAAACTCGTGTATTCTCAAATATTTCACGATTTGAGGCACATTTTCATTTTAATACAGGGAGCTTATTGCGAAGCTCTCGCATTCTCGCGTACTCCATGATTTGAGGCACTCCCGGAGTTGTTTGCCATAGACGTCGCCGTCGATATTGTCTGCTTGTCGTCGAGCAGTTTCCAAAACAGCATGCCTTGCCAATCTGAACAAACGAAAGCATTATCGTCTTAGTATGGAACGTGGGCTATGGTCAAGCTGGAGACTCTTTCTCGTTAGGCAGCCGGGAGTTGTAGAGCACATTGCTTTATTGCTGACCGAGGACTCATCTCGAGTGATGATCGACTTGAGAAAGTCTTACCTGCACGGTCATGCAAAAGACTCTCACAGATAGTTACACGTGCAGCGTGGATGTGGTGCATGAGGTGTTCATCGATACATCACTTTGTGGTGGTCCGTTTCAATCAGATGGCGAAGGATGGTGCTACCACCGTATTGAAGTGTCTGCAAACTCCTGGTACTAGCATCCGAATGCGCATCCGGCTGGTGACTGAAGCGTCTTGGTTAGAAGTGACTGCCCAGCCACAGTAAAATTGACTTTGACAGCTCGTATCGAATTCGTGGAAGCGCTTTAACCATTGGCTCACGGTCCAAATTGTAGTAGTGCCTAGCCCAAACGCAAAGTTGTTTCTCTCAATCGTCTTCCTTACACTGGTTTCAGACTTATATTGGTAGAACAAAATTGAACGTACGTGGCGCTGATCCATTTTATTCCCACTTTATGAACCCTCAACGCGTGTACCCTATTACACCCCCGTGGCTAAAGCTACTAAGACAATTTCAAATATACTACAGCTTTTTGGAAAATTCTGATTTGAACTAGAAAACATACGTGCGAAAGTAATTGTGGGATAACACAATATTCCGTTTCTTCTCACAGCTATTGCGGTAAAGAGAGTATGCTCTAAAAGATAGAAGTTAAGGAGATCGCATAAGCCAAAAATTATGAAATAACTCAGAATTCTTTGATTCACTGCTTTCTGGCAGTGGCATAGTTTTGAAATATCAATTTGAAAAATTACGTGGTGCGCAAAAATTTAATAGTGTAGCAGTAGCACGCGCCAGCGGTAAGGATTGAACGCGGTTTCGATTTCCGGCTAAGGTCGAATCCTTGCGGGTCCCTCAGTTTTTCAGTATTCTTAGATGAATAATTCAACGTCATACCACTAGAAGGAAGTAAACAAAGAATCATGGATCATACATATATAAAAGCTGTTAGCTCAATGTACCCATCAGATCAAAGCCATTGAGGCTTGGTTGCTGACAGCTTTGATAGTTCATACCGAAGAGCGAGTGGTCGTAAGACGATGGCCTTGATGGTGTAGTGGTAGCACGCACACCCCGCAAGGGTGAATCACGAGTTCAACTTCCGCCTGAGGTCAAATCTTTGCGCACCACCCATTCTCTCTAAATAAAGTACTAGACATTTTTTGAGCGTCTCACTATACGCCGCTCAAGTCATCTAAACTCTTCTTGAAGACCCGTTTGTAATTCTCAACTATCAAGCTGGTCTACTTAGCAAGTAATTACGATTATAACTAGAGAATTTTTATTTCTTTCACTGGTCACTAACGGAACAAAAAATCCACTGGTCAAACTATATTGTTTGTTCACTTCGACAATATCGGCAGTGGCTCTTCTAAGCTATGAGACAGCCATTTTAGGGTTTTCAAAGCTTTCATAACATCTGCTCACTGGCCGTTTCGTATAGATTGGAAACTTAACGTTTTGTGACTAGCTCTTTGATTAAGGCATCCATTCCCTGAAATATATCAACGAAAAAAAAACTACATTTCACATAGTGGAGAATCTGAAGTGATCAGCCAGTGTTCAATTAACCACTCATCCATTTGAGCTCGTAAAATCGGCATCACTCTCTGAAGTTGCTCCCTCCTCAGAAAAAGGCGTCTGCTTGTGATGATCTAAGAATAGTCTCGCAAGGCTGTTTTAGAATACAAGGAGCAAGCGGATCAACTAGCGCTTTATGACATTTTCTAAGGGACACAGAGCTCTTCAAATGACATTTAACTCTACAAATCCGAAGAATTTTGCGTATTATAGATGAATAGCATACAAGGCAGTAGGATATGACCGATTCTGACGGAGGAGGAAGGGGTTGGGGAAAGCGTGGGAAAGGGACTGATGTAAAACTACCTTTGAAAATATAAAAAGCTATTTAATCATATATAAATCACTAAAGAAATATACCTAAGAGAATTGAGTGGTGAGCAAAAAGCTGAGGCCGCGTTTTTGCTCACTACTCAATTCACCTAGGTACTAGAAAACATCATAACAATGCGAAATGCATTGAAAAATACTATTAATGTGGAGTATTAGTAATTAGAGCAGCTGTCAGCTCAACTAGGTTTATAAAGCGAAATCGCATACCCGACCAAACCTGTCAAAGGTTGGTGGCTGATAGCTAACATTGAGATGTTGAAGAATGAGTGGTCGGACAAATGTGCCTCAGTGGTGTAGTGGTGGAGCACGCGTCCCCGAATAGTATGAAACGTGGGTTCGATTCCCGCCTGAGCGGCGTTTTTGCTCACCACTCAATTCTCTTAGGTATATAGAAAGCATCATAACAATGCGAAATGCATTGAAAAATACTATTAATGTCGAGTACTAAAGAAATATTCAAAATGCAATGCATTTCAAATCTGAATCTGCATGCAATGTAAGACGACATTCGAATTTAGCACCCAATAAGACATACTGAATACGACAGTATTTAAAACGCATCATTAATCCAAATCAATGATAATGATAAATAAACCATAAGTTTACGACTTTTAAACACGAAAGTGATCTCGAGCGAGTGGTGTAAGAACTTACGAAATTTACGAAACGGCAGATAAGGAGTTTGAATGTGGGCTGAAATCGATCTCAAAGAACTCAATTGAGTCCAGGAAATGACATCGCACTTTTGTTATGTCGAAATGGCATATTCTTCTCATAACCTCATAACTTCATTTACAAATATATGTTTGGTATGTGGATGAATATGCTTACATGCATGTGGGTTGTATCCTACTTCGCTCAAAATTAAAATATAATGACTTCCAAACGGTCAACACTAGCGGTATCGATGAGAATTCCATTGTGATATGTGAGCGGAATCTAATAAGCAGAGAAAGGGATCTGAATTTAATCTAAACAATCAATGTCGCCCTTAGCAACTCGTGATCTCAGAAACCCTCCAATCAGTATCTAGAAAGAGAGTCTTCCAGAGAAACCTATTTCATGTGCCCTTTATCCACGCATTTCCGCTCAAATGGACGACAGTCATCAAGGTTTCTAATTGTTTTGTTTCCTGTCGGAGCCCATTAATAAGTTCATCTCACGAGAAAAACGCAGAGAGAAGTTTTTTTTTTCAAAATTAGGACCACTACAAAAAGTTTAGCCAAGGGCGGCCAATTATTATTTACACGGTTGACTACAGTCACCCAATTTACGAAATCTTCATGTTTGTTACCATGCTATCCTGCACCACAAGCGCAGATGGAATCTTCACTTTCCGCCACCCACTTTTGTGGCACTAAGTATTTTTCATATCTCAGTGTCGAAAAAGCTGTCGATAACAACAAGCGATGTTTCAACTCGCTTACTTGAAAAAAAGCCAGCTTCCCCGGGGTCATTGTATCCGTCTTCTTCAAGTACAAATAACGTCATGGCACTCAGTCTCACGGTGTATCTATCTCCTTTTTCCTGCTCATCCATTCTTGGAGCAAACTCAAGCTATCGAGTTTTCTCTCCACATCACCAAGAGCGATATATTAAGTTTCGCTCATAAGTGCGTCATAAATCAACCGCAGAACCCTCGACGGATTGTGAAAAGACGTTCTCACTTATGTCGCTCTTATCTATTATTGAAGTATACATATGTATCCTTTCATTATTATTTGAGCCAACATGACATGTGGTCTGGTAAAGGCTCTTGTACAGCCCGAGACACGTGTTTCGTCCTTACAGACTCATCAGCCGGGCAGAACCCGTCGTCTGTCGATCTTTTCATAGTCAGTTCTCTCGGGAGCATCACACTCCTTATATATAGTTATCAACGACCTACGCTTTACATCCTTTGTCAGGTGAAACATTCACCTAACACAGAGTGTTTTCGCACTCGATTGCTAGCTGGCTGGTATTTTATCATAATATACCTTTCCTTCGAGTGCTTTATTAAGACCACGCTCAAATTTCAATAGATCCTTTCATTATTATTTGAGCCATTATTATTTATGATAAAATACCAGCCAGCTAGCAATCGAGTGCGAAAACACTCTGTGGTAGGTGAATGTTTCACCTGACAAAGGATGTAAAGCGTAGGTCGTTGATAACTATATATAAGGAGTGTGATGCTCCCGAGAGAACTGACTATGAAAAGATCGACAGACGACGGGTTCTGCCCGGCTGATGAGTCTGTAAGGACGAAACACGTGTCTCGGGCTGTACAAGAGCTTTTACCAGACCACATGACATGTTGGCTCAAATAATAATGAAAGGATCTATTGAAATTTGAGCGTGGTCTTAATAAAGCACTCGAAGGAAAGGTATACATATGTAAATATCACCTGTATCACCTTTCGTCCCGTTGATCGTTGAGTGACTCGAGCGAGTACCAGCAACACCACCGTTTTTCCTTATCGCGTGCAAAGTAGCCCAGTTGGTGCTCCTCGCTCTAGGGATTCGCTGAGAATCATATATTTCTTCCGGTTTTTTTGTGAAGAAATCGGATCAACGAGTCGGTGGCATTCTTGTGGAGCGCTTGATGTCCCGAGGGATCCAGTCGATAACGGCTCTCGTCTATCGGATATCGTTGAAACGCATCACGTGTCCGGACCACCTTATTTTTGATATCCTGGGGTGTAGAACGGCGTCTTTGATCTTCGGTCTTTGCCGTAGGTCGGAACTTTATATCCTTTCTCTCATTTGCAAGATACGGGATACTCCTAGCATCGACCTTTCGAGTGCGCGTTCAATAATGCTAAGTGATTTTCATCCTGTTTACGTAGCGACCAGGTTTCTGCTCATACGTTAGGGCGTTAGGGAAGGGATAATCGTCGAGTCGAAAAGGTGGGCACGGAGTCGGATGTTCTTTGTCCTCTTCACTACATCTTCGATGCTCTCAAACGTTTTCAAGCCCCTCGTTCCCCTCTGCTCGGCTCTGGAGCTAGGTCGTACATCATGTTGATTTGACGACCTAGGCAGACGTGACTGAAGCATTCGGAGATTTCCGTTCCGTTGAGCGTGAAAGGGGCATTTAAAACCAATCCTTCCTCATGAACATCGTTTTCGTTAGATTTAGTTGAAGACCTATCTTTCCACAGGCGTTGTCGAAATCGGTCAACATTCGTTCTGCTTGGTGTAATGAGAACGATGTCATCAGCGAAGAGAAGATGGTCTTCAATTTAATTGTCGACCGTCAATTTTCACTCCCATATCGTCCCATTCTAATGTTCGCATGACGTTTTTGGAGGGTGGCAGTGGAAAATTTTGGCAAAATTGTATCACCTTGTCAAACACCTCTTCGTACATTTATGGTGATATTGTTGTAGAATGAAGATATTCTATGTAAATATAATCTGTGCTTTTTATTATGATGTTATTTATGTAAAAGCTCAGTTATCTAGCTTTGAGTTTGTAAAAGGTGGTGCACATGAATGAAATGGTGAAGAAGAATTGCATAGATTGCGATGCCCCGCCAACTTTAGCATTTTCAATTGTTAATGAGATTGCTATTCCGATATTATTGAAAGCTTGCAAATTCCAACAGACTAAAACAGTTCATCTGAATACACTTGTTTCTGAGTAAAAGTAAAAGATGCACTACTTATTGAGAGCCAATTAGTTCTCTAATTTCTATTTACTCTCAAAAGAACAAATAATTTAAGTAATCAACTATCTGCTCCAAGAAATTGTTATGCTGATAACTTTAGCTCCAAATATCAACAAAAAAAACTCAATATGAAGTTAGCCAGAACATCAAAGAAGCAGTGAAGAAAGCGAAGCACATCAAGCTGTAAGGATAACTCCTCTGATTTATGTTTCTTTCCTATTTTTGCCTCAAATAAGCACGAAGAAGAAGCCATCATATGGTTCAAGTTTGCAAAAATGATTCTACTCTGCTTCACAACAGATGAGAGCCTTTAGTTACGGTTCTACAGGAAATTGAGAACATGGTGAGAAATTCGTCGACTCTAATTAAGTTTAAGAATATTTAGTCGTGCTACGAAGAAGGTTTTGCGTGCTAGAATCTTGATCGCTCGCTGATAAACTCGTGGAGGAGGTTATGCGTGAAGTAGAAATCGTATTAGTATAACTAATAAGAGTAATAACATGCGTAAATCAGTTAACGTATTACACGTGAAGTGCATGAAATTAT